CAAGGAGGACAGCTGGGGCTCCTCATCCCACACACCTGTTCACGCCTGCCACCCACTGCCGGCTGGGGCTCAGAGCCCGGGGGACCTGCTGTCATTTGGCCGTGACTCTGATCCTCTCCGTGGGGCGTGTATCCGCGGTGCCCACTGTCCAGGGCAGATGACTTGAAAGCTGCGCTCACACAGGGCGCACAGGGGGTGCTGCCGAGCTTTTGGCTCTGGGGGCTGGGGCAGTGTCTGGCAGTCCGCACAGGGGTCAAAAGAGTCTCAACGGTTTTCTAGAGTGAGTAGACTTTTAATTTATTAAAATGTTAAGAGACCGGGCGCCTGGGGGGCTCAATTAGTTAAGCATCTGCCTTTGGCGCAGGTCATGATCCCAGAGTCCTGGGATCAAGCCCTTTGTCAGGTTCTGTGCTCAACAGGGAGTCTGCTTGAGGATCCTCTCTCTTTCCCTCTGCCTGTCTCCCTGCTCACTCTCTCTCAAATAAATAAATAAAATCTTAAAAAAAAAAAAAAAGCTGCAAGAGACCTGCAAGGACGTTAGTCCAACCCTTTCGTTTTACAAGCAAGGACGAGAGGGGAGTAGAAGAATGACATGCTGGCCAGAGTTCCAGGGCCGGTAGGTGACAGCAGCTGGGAGGTCCACTGCATTCCCAGGCTCAGGGCTAAGGAGCCAACTGCTTGGCTGTTTGCTGTTGTTGAATATCTTTATGCAGATGTCTAGGCAAACGTAGCCCAGTAAATAGCTGTGGTAGGTCACTGTCAGTGCAACACATGAAAGGGAGCCCGTGGGTTGCAGTCTGCACAGGACGGCTGTGGCACCTAATGACCGGGGAGGGGCCACCGGCCACCCCAGTGGGACAAGGGTCCTGGCCCAAGACCCTCCCCAGGCCCGCACCTCAGGAGGGCCCTGGGGCCGCACGAATCCTCAATGGCTCCTGGCCTTGGTTTACCACGCCTCCAGCTCTCTCCCCCTGGGCCCGTGGTCCGGTGGCCAGGCCCGGCCAGGCGCCCGGGCTGCCCGTGCAGGCAAGCCACCGCCGGAGATGTGGGAGGCCGCTGCGGAGGTAGGCTCGGCTGCCAGCAACTGATGCCTCTCGTTCAGGCAAAGGGAGCTGCACGGATTGACTGCAACTTCGGATCATGGTTTCAGGTTGTTTGGTTTTTGTTTAAACATGAATGGAGTATTTTCTGGGCTTTTGTTTTTACTCTGATAATGGCATCTGTAGGGATAGGTGCCCTCCCCTGAACAGAAGCACAGATCAGAGGCTTGATCTCTGGGGCTTCCTGGCTGACCAGTGCAAGACGCCATGTGTCCGGGTCCAGGTGGGCCCGCCTGGGCTGGGGTAGCTGGGGTCAGGGCCCGGGAGCTCTTGCTCCAGAGATGGTTCATCTGTGACCTGCCAGAGCTCTCGAGGAACTAAGGTAAGAGTCTGAGAGACTGCACTCACGTGGCGTCCAGGGGTGGAAATCAGCAGGTGTCGATGATGTGCGGGTGGGCTTGACAGCCGGCGAGAGAACGGGACAAAGTCAGGTGCCCAGAGGCAGGAGTTTTAGCTGAGGCTTGAACGTGGGGCCTCGCCCCTGGTGGGTTTGCGTGACCTGGGGTGCCCAGGTCCTGGCTCTTGAAGAGTCTGCATTACCTGGCCACAGATGCTCAGAGAGGGTATCCCAGGAAACCTGTTCAAAGCAAACAGGTTCCTCTATTGACTGTCTATTTACCAGCCCTGGTCAAAGGCATCTGACGGGCTCTCCATCAGGCTGGCCAGGGGTGAGGGTGGGGTGTCACACAACCTGATCACGGCTGTTCTGCCAAGCCCAGCCCTGGAGACTAGTGGTAAAGTTCTCAGGGAAGGGTGTAGATTGCAGACGGCCCTCCTCTGATCGGGCCAGGGAAGGAATTAGCCTGGGAGAGGAGCTTCCTGTTCAGGCAAGCCGGATGCTTAAGGAGGTGCCTGGCCTCCCCACAGCACAATCCCAGAGCCCCATGCCCACATGGCATGCTTGTCCCCCACAGTCACCGCCCCAGGCACTCCAGTCTCTATCACCCAACATCTGTGCCCTTCCCCACATTGTTCCCTCAGCTTGGAATGGCCTTCTCCACTTTGTCCACGGGCAGGCTAACTCTGGATGGTGGTGCCCACATCAAAAGGCCCTCTCCCAGAAAGCCCTCCCTTGGCTCTGCCTGACCAGCGATTGGTCAGCGTCTTGTGACTTGGTGTCCCCAGACCTCTGCTGGAGCCATCCCCTTTCCTCACAGCCCGGTGCAAGGACCCCGCAGGCCTGCCCCATCCTGGGCAGGGCCACATATGGAATAGGTTAATGTTGGTGGGCCCTTTAGATGCCTCTGGAACTTCGTGGGTTTCAATAAAAAGACACCATGGCGTTCTGCGCTTGCGCTCTGGAATCCCAGCCTGTGTCCCCCCCCCCCCCCCTGCCCAGGCCTTTGTCTCACTCACTGTCCCATCAGCTGAGACTCCCAATGACTTTCAGTGCTGGATGCTTTGCAGCCGTTTCTCCATTCCTGACGCTTTGTGCCTGTGGACAGCATTTCCCCTTTGTGCAGGTGCAGAAAGCAAGGCCTAGAGCCCCAGGCTGGGATTAGCACCCAGCGGGTCTGCCCCCAGATACCTCCCCAGCCCTCTAGCTCCCTCCACACATGTTCCTTCCCAGGCACTTCTTTGGCCACTTCAGAAACTATGTTTGAGCACCTCACTGTGCCAGCAGTGTGCCCTGCTCAGGCCTCCGGGGCTCACCCAATCTGATGTCCTGTACCCTTGGGACTCCACTCACCAGGGAGGAGTCAGACTGGCCCAGCATGGGGTGCAAAGTGCTTGGCATGAGTAATATGCTTTGAGTCAGCTGGAAGGAATCCCCTGTGCAGCTTGGATTATGCTGGTCTCCGGGGACCCCAAAGGGGAGCTCATGGGGGCCTGGGCTCTCTTTCTCCAGAAGAAGCTTTTAAGTTCTGAGCCTTGGGCTTTGTGGAGTGCCCCGCCAGTCACGGTGAGCACCTGTGGCCACAGCGTTGTCTGGGGAACGTGGCACTCCCTCTGGACACCTGCAGCTGGATTAATCAGACTCAGGTGCCTCCCGCAGGGTTACAAGCCCACCATCCAGGCAGACACCTGTCTAGGGGGTGGAAAGGGAGGCTTTCGGGGAGAGGGCGCTGAGCGGTCCTGTTGCTGCCTTGTCCCGCTGACCCGATGGCGGTGCGGGGAGCTCTGTCTGCCGAGGATGCGCATGCACATAGGCCTGTGACAGACACTGCATGTCCCGCCAAAGCCTCCCCGCTGGAGAGCAACTCTCCTTCAGGGGAGTATTGCTCTTTGCAGCGTGTTCTGTGGAATTCAGTGTGCCTCTCAATGTCACTCCAGGGCGATCTGTGCTTCACTGGCTCTGATGGCAAAGACACGCCACAGCCCCAGTCACTTGCAATGACACATTGCCTGAGCGAGCGAGACAGAGGCGCAGACGCGAGCTGGCTCCAGGCCTCCAAGTCCTCTGCTCTTCCTTCTCTTGCAGTGGCTGCCGAGGGCGCTCCTGGCTTGGCTTGGCGGGCCCTGGAATTGAGGTCAAGGGGGACGTTGCTGAGAACGCTGAGAAGAGTGGGGGGGAAGCCAGGGGGCAGAAACCGTACCTGGAAAACACAGATGGATCTTTCCAATCATTTCTTTAGATAGTCGCAGATCCTGGCCAGGCCCAGGAGGGAAAGCTGCCTTCTGGTCTTTTCTCAGGAAACACTCAAGCTCTGCCACCACCAGCAGCCCAAAGTATTTACCGAAGCTTGGAGGCATCTCATAGAAGACCTGGTCTTTCCCTTTAAGGGTCCTTGAGGATGCAGCAGAAACTCCAAAAATGGGCATAGTGTCTGAGTCAAGGTTAAGAGACCACTGACGGTCCAGCAGTCGTGCAGAGAACGTCCCGCTGTGCTGAGGCCACAGCGGCCAGGCTGCGGGGCAGGTTCAGAGGGACGGGTGGGGGATAGCCTGGTCCCTTCGTGGAAACAGGTGTGTTTCCCTGCCTGTTGTCTCTTGTGCCCACCTGTGCTGGGTGACCTCTGTAGGCCCCCGAGCTGACAGCAGGGCCTGGCAGGTAAACTGTGGCCAGGAAACATTCTTTCTTCTTCTTTTTTTTACAAGATTTTATTTACTTATTTATTTGAGAGAGAGAGAGAGCGCAGGGGGAGGGGCAGAGGGAGAATCCCAAGCAGATTCCTCGTGAGCATGGAGCCTGACGCGGGGCTCAATCCCACCACCCCACTATCGTGACCTGAGCCGCAACGAAGAGTCGGACGCGCAACCGACTGAGCTGCCCCAGGCACTCCGGGAAACGCTAAGGGAATGAATGTTCTTGTCCTGTGTCGGGAGTGTGAAACTCGGGGTCCTTGGGATCGAGAATGCCATCTGTACTGATAAAACCGCCTGGCAACACCCGAGCGGAAGCTAAAACGCAAAGCCAAAGTCTGCAGGCGCACTGTACGGGGGCTGCCGGGCCAGGAGGCCTGCAGGGCCTGGTGTGGCGCTGGGCCGCTGACCTGGGCCCCGGGTTGGGGCCGGCACACCCCTGGTCTGGGCCGGGCTCCTGCCCAGGGAGCAGTTGGCCTGGGGGCACTGTCCGCTCCAGCCGCCCCGGGGGCTGCCGCTGATTCTCATGGTCCTCACATTTGCCTACACACAATCGCTTCACACAAGGATGTAATTAAACCCTTTGAACAGCACTTTGGGACATCTGATTATGCAGAAAAACTCCATAGAAATGTAAGCTGTTGTGGACAGCTGGTTTGCCCTGCGGTTTCTGTCAGTGCTCACTGTTCTGTGAAAATTACCTGAAAGGAAGGTGAGGAAGGCAAAGCCAGGAGGGAGGCCGGGCTGGGCCCTGCTGTGCGGCCTCTGACCTGCCTTTTCCAGGACCTGGAGTGCTCAGGAGTGAGCAGTGCGGCCCCGCCAGCCCTGCCGGCCCTGCGTGGGCCCCGCTGACTCCCTTGGCCCTTCTCTCCCCAGGAGCTGCCAGAGCATGACGAGCTTGGGCAGCAACACCATGTCGCCCATCAAGGACGGGACCTCCTCTCTGGCCAGGAGGCAGAGCTCGTTCGCCAGGCCCCCGCTCCGTGCTCTGTACGACCTGCTCATAGCGCCCATGGAAGGGGTAAGTGCCTCACCTCCCCGCTCCGGTGGGGCCCAGAGGCTTCGAGGCGTCGGGACACATCGTTTCCCGCTCAGTGCCCACATGTGCCCCTTAGGTACAAAATGGGCTCCCGAGACAAGCCGGGGCTTTCCAGAACACACCCTCTCTCTCCAGCTGCTTGGTCAGGTTGGCTGCTGGTTAGTGGGTGAGGCCCCGGGTTCAGGCTGCCAGCTTAAATCCTGGCACTGCTCCTTTGCAGCCCGGCGGATCTGGCCTCCGCTGCCCTCCTCCCGTCTTCTCGTCAGACTTTGGGGTCGAGGGAGGCATGGGGTTGGGCCCATCTCCCCAGTTGTCAGCAGGAACCACGCCATCCGCATGGGCCCCGAGCAGAAGGGAAGGGGGCTGTGCCCACGGCTCTGCCTCATCCTGCTGGGAAGGCATCCCCATCTCCCACCTCTCATTCGGGGGTCACACCAGGGCTGTGCTTTCTGCTGAGAACAGATCCCTCGGCCTCTGCCACTGTCAGGAGCCGTGGACTCCATCACAGTGTCTGACGTCAAAGACCCTCTTTCACTTGGAATTTCTCTAGAAGGTTGAGAACGGCACCTGACGGGTGTCTGTGGCTCTGGACTTTGCACACCGTCCTTCCATCCAGACATGGCGCTCCCACTGGGTGGGGGAGACCAAAGGGCTCAGGGATCTTAGGAATCTGAATGGTGAGCCTGTTCAGATGCCTTCTGTGTATTAGTCAGCTCTGGCTGCAGTAGCAAAAGACCGTGAACTGGGCCGTTTAGACAACAGGCATTTATTTCTCATGGCTCCGAGGCTCGAATTCCCGGGTGAGGGTGCCAGCATATTCAGTAGCTTGGCGAAGGCCCTCCTCTGGCTGCACACAGCCCCCTTCTCACCGCGTCCTCTCATGGGGGCTCTGGTCTGTCCCCGTCTTCTAAGGGCGCTAGCTCCATCATGGGGGTACTGTCCTCGTGACCTCATCTAAACCAAATTATCTCCCAAAGGCCCCACCTCCGAATACCATCCCACTGGGGGTTAGGGCTTCAGCATGTGGATTTGGGGGGACACCAGCATTCAGCCCATAGCAGACCCCAAGGAAAGCCCAGGTGCCTGCACTCATGGGGGCCTGGCTCTCAGGCGGGGAGGGCGTGACTGACGAGTCCTTGGAGAGCAGGCGGCAGGCCCGCGTGTCCTCGCGGCTGTCTGCAGCCACGTGGGAGTTTTGTCTGTTTGGGTGGCCCCTTGGCAGCTCGCCCCTCCGCTTCAGCCAGCTGGCAGAGATGAAGTGCGTCCTCAGGAAACCCCACCTTGACAGCGATTCCTTCATCCCCTGGAAATGCACTGGCCAGCCAAGGATGTGCCAGCCCTGCCCAGTATCGCTCAGGAGGCTGCCTGCCTGCCAGGCCCTGCGGACCTCCCTCGCTCAGGGAGCCCGGGGGTGGTGGGAAGCCCAGAGCTCTGGGGGCTGGCAGTCCGGACCTCCCTGGCTGGGTGACCTCCCTGGCTGGGTGACCTTGGCCAAGTGATTTCTCCTCCTTGAGTCCCTGTGTCCTCGTTAGAAAATGGGACGACACCGCAGAGCATGTCAGGTCTGAGCAGGGTTGGGCTTCAAGGCGTGTGAGGAGCACGTAGGGCAGCGGCAGCAGCAGGAGGGGCACTGGTGAGAGGGGCTGTTTGGACCTTCCATTTTTTTCACTCACTCGGGACTTCTGGGGGCCCTTTGCACTTCCTCTTTTGTGTCCGGGTCCCAGATGACTTGCTCCGTGCATGTGGAATGGGCTGGTGGGGCCGGCGAGGAGGGACAGGGCGCAGAGGGCAGAGCTGGAGACGGGCTGGGAGCAGCGTGTCCTTGGAGGTTCAGGGCATCTGGAGCCGGCAAGCTGCTCCCCTCTCTCTGGCTCGAGTGTCCCCTCCTCTTAGAAGCCTTCCTTGCCCTCTCCCCCCACTGCCCTCCAGGCTTCCTCCCCCTCCCTGGCACTGGGTCCCCTCTATGCCCCATGTCTTTTCTGGCACCCGCTACCTCACTGGACTCAGAACTTGGCTCTTGGCGTGCCTCACCTCCTGTCCCTTGCTGCCCACCCCACCCCACCCCTCAGCTGCTCTAGGGGAAGCCGCTCGCCCACTCGGGTCCCGAATCACACCCCCAGTTCACATGGGGCTTGTAATTATTTGAACAAGTGCCTCCCTAAAGGCAAGCACGGTCCCTCATCTCTGCGTCCCCTAGCCCCTGGCACGGGGCCTGGTACCTGCCGACACTCGGTGAAGTTTATGGGATGATACGTGGTCCAAAGCTGGGGGGCGGGGAGAAGCGGCCCTCCCTCCCTCCATCCAGGGCTCCCGGCTCCTCGCCCCGGGGGAGAAGCTGCTGCAGCCTCGAGTCATCCTTGTCAGGGAGTCTGCGGGTTTATAAAATCTGCACTGTGTCTTTTCTCCCTGCGGACTTGCCCCTGTGACTTAAAGAGTAAAAATGTGCCAGTGGGAGTAGTGGCGGCTCATGCCTAGACATCTGTGTCCCTCCAGGGCTGCTGGGCAGGGGAAGAGTGACGGCCCTAGACAAGGGAGAGCAGGGGACGAAGTCAGCCTTCCTGAGGTGACCTGCCCAGGGAAGGGGGCGTCCCGCCGCCAGCCTGGCTGCCGGTGCCCCAGAGCGCGCGGTTCGGGAGCTGCGCTGTAGGGACCGACGTCCGGGGCCCCACGCGCCCGCCCTCTGGGGTGCAGCCCTGTAGTTTGAAAGCGTGTCCTGAGTTCCTGAGAGTTCAGCTCTCCTCTCTTGTGACCGAGGTGTCCGAACACTGAACGAGCGTGGCTGCCTCACACGAGCCACAGAGCGAAAGTTTCCGAAGGCCGTTAAAGCCAACGGTCAGGGCGCGAGCTTGTCCTTGGCTAGCTGAGGCGATCCGCTGTGTTTCAGGAAAACGCCTGACGGGAAACTTTCACCCGTGCTTTCCACAAGTGCTTGCTGGCGTGTGCGGGGTCCACACCGGCCTGGACGCGGAGGAGGCGGCGGGGTGCGTGCCCCCCCCGCCGTCTGATGCTCACAGATGGTGCTTGGGGGAGTGGGCTGCAGGGAGCCCCCGTCAGCTGCCAGGTTGGAGGGGGAGGAGGCTGAGCCTTCCTCCAGCTGCCCGAGGCCAGCACCCCCACCTGCTCCAGAGGCCACCAGAGGGCGACACGACACCACCCACCCGCCTGCTCCTGGCGCTGTCAGCTGCCAGGCAGAGCCAGGCCCTTTACCACATTTTCAGTGAAAATACAAATCAAAACCGAAAGTCCAAGCTTACGAATCCCTGACACTTCAAGACTAAAGCGATTAGCCTCTTCACGTGGGGCTTATAATTATTTGAACAAGTGCCTTTGTGTAGCCCCAGTCCTGTGGCTAAGGGACTAGGTCAGACAGTATGAAAAGTGGAACAGAAGAATATTTTACCGTCGGCTTGCACCAGTATTTGATTTAATTTGGCTTCAGGGAGCCATGGTCATGGCTCTTTCCTGGAAGCACGCCGTCCTTTGCTGTCAGGATGGGGCAAGCCTGTCCGGCTGTCTTTGAGGAGGGCCTGGCCACGTCTGCATGTGACCCGTCAGCAGACATTAAGTCAAGTCCTGTCTGGTACCCACAGGAGAAAATGTCACCGAAGAAAAGTTGCAAGGGTTTCGAGTGAAAAGGACTGGGACCCTGTGTGCGTCCCTGGCTTTCATTTTTAATCACTTTAATAGAGTAAAGGACAGTAAGCCATGCCTCTGGGCCCTGCCTATGGTGAAGGGACAGACCTGGGCCAGTCTTGCCCCATGGCGGGATGGGTATCGCAAAGAAGTACGCGCCAGCAGCTGTGTTCCAGAAGACGCATCTGATGTGACGAGGCCCCCCAGGGCTGCTCTAGGGGAAGCCGCTTGCCCACTCGGGTCCCGAATCACCCCCTCAGTTTGCAGACAGGGCTTCACCCAAAGCCAGAAGCTGCTCTGATGAAGGAGCCAGATGGAGAGTAGGAAATTGCCTAGAATTTGGGTGAATCATTCTCAAGAAGTCCAGATTTGGGGACCTTTCAGGATCACTGGAGTTTGGACTCATTTTAGTTATAGTCCCATCTTTACCATTATTTCCATTTATTGAAATTCCCTGTTTCCTACATTTACAGTCATAAAACTGTAGTTGTAGGACAGGTAGCAAGAGCGAATGACCTTGATCAGAAGGACAAGTATTCCTCGCCCACCTCTGCTCTGGATTAAGGTCACTGCCTGTTTACGTGGACTTGCGTGTTTCAGGACCCCCAGAAACTTACTTAAAACTTGCTGTTCGGGTTGGTTAGGTTGGTAAACTGCCTTCCTAAACCCTGGGGCTCTGGGAATTCGCCCCAGACCTCTCATCCACGCATGCAAGGCAGGGGCAGAGCTCAGCTCCAACTGGGTCCTGCCCTTAATTTTGGCTCTGGGGGAAAGGACTCTTGAAAAATCAAGTAGCCTGATAAACCAGCTCACCCCAGAACAGATGCCCCAGGAGACGAGACTGCCCACCTGGGCGCCTGTTTTCTAAACAGATGGAGGGTTTGGAGATGGCCAGGGAATAGTTGTCCCCAGAAGCGATCAGGCCTACACTCCACAGACTATGGAGCAGAGGATAAGGCCCTGGAGACTGGCACGCTCGGGGCCGGCAGCCCCACCGCCAGCCCATCTAACTGCTTTCTGAGTGAGACATCTGTAGTGATATTCAAATGAGACACACGTCACCCAAGGACGACAAGCCTTTCCAACTGATTAGGACAAGGAAAGATGGAGGCGAGAAGCTGCCCAGAGCAGCCGAACTAACGGTGAGAGCTGCCTCCCGGCTGGGGGGGATCCCCCCAGGGTCAGCTCCGTTGGGCTCTGGCTCTGCTCCAGTGGGTGGGTAACAGGCTCACTCGGCAGCTCCCTGCCCCCCGGGGGCGCACAGGCTCATTTTCCCCGGGGCAGCCAAGAAGCAGAGGGCCGTCGTTGCACAGAGGCCCCTGCAGCTTGGGCAGACCCTCTGGCTGGTG